CCAGTGATGTACAGAATTCCTTCTGCGTGGCACTAAACGGAAGCTGTGATGGTTGTTACGAAAACTCTTTTCTCTTAACATTTCGGTTAATTGTTCCCGGGTATTACTAACCGCCGTTGTTTTATTTGCTGCTATTAGCTACATGTATTTAGATGGTGAAAAACGGGAGCATTGGCGGAACTAAGACACACACAGACTGCACCCTAGTTCAGTGTGTTCCATAGTGACTGATCCAGCAAAAGTACCAGAATATCTGAACTTTAACTTGAGTCACTAGAGCCACATTATAAAAACTGGTTCAGTTTCAAGGAAACTTTTTGTAATGAGATAGAAACTGAGACAATGAGTTTGGTCTTTGATTTCCTGAGGTCTAAGTTTGGTTTCAGTTTATGCTAATTATGTCTCTTTCATTAAAGCTTTATTGTTCTCTGTAATCTATGAATCTTGAGACTTACATAAATATTGAACTATGAAACCAGTAGTGATTTAGCCAGAGCAAAAAAGATTCATACGTTGTTTGGAGAGTTTAAACCATGATGTTTGCTGTTTTGTCATTCTAATTAAATTTAACGACAAAACGGAGTCACTGGTTATAAAAAATCTTCATCTTTTGTCTTCAAAACCTACTAGAAAAACGTCACAGCCATAGATCAGTCAAGTCGTAGTTAGGTAAACGATGATTTTAGTCGGAAGGCAAATCTCATTGAGACTAGATTCCTTTTGCGAAGATGCATAAACTTTAGTGTGGTATTTTTTATGCCAGTTTTTCATTTAATTAACTGGAGGAACCATTGAGCCGTCTTTTTGGAAAGACATGAACTCAACCAGTTGGTCGCTGACTTACCTTAGATGATCTATCTCATATAGAGAAAACAGCCGTTGACCTGCCAATCATCTTCGTAAAGCGTTCGACAAGATAGGCAAACTTCTGAAGATTGTTGGGCGTATAACCCAAAATCGCAATATCATTCGCGAACTCCAAATTCGATAAGAATATGTTAGGACTAATCTGAATATTGGGATAGTTAATGAGTAGCTTGGCGCAATAGCGTAGCTAAGTACCATAAGTGATAAAGGCAACCCTGAATAACAGCGGAATCTAACGAGAAGCTGTTTGATTCTTCTCCATAGATGCAATTTTTTTCTGTATGTTTGAATAGTATGAATTTAAATGGTTCAGAATCCATGTACGTATTCAATCGGTTTGCAATATATTCCATAGTGACTCCAGATATATCAGATAAATAATAAAAATAAATTCGTATGCCGTCCCTAATTAAATCACTTACATCTATCTACTTTCCTTGACCCTGCACTCCTAATTAAACGAAACACCTTGCGACTACTGCCGATGGCCGCAGTCTTCTCCGTCTCTCTATACCTACTTATCCATTACTTCTCGCGGTCATCCCTCAGGCTCTTGCTGTGCTGGCATTTAAGGAAGTTAGACGCTTTGTCGTATTTGGCATCAGAAGGAATGGCATTTCGTGAGTCCAGTAGGGCAGCCGAGGTCGAGGAGTTCCATCGTTTTTACTTTGATCTTACAACTGAATCCGCCGTTGTTTTGATTGACATTTGGATCGCTTGCTTGAATACCATCCAGTGTTAACCAAGTCCTTCGGTTGATGGTCCAACTGAAAGATGATCAGATCGGTTTGAAGACCGATATGTAATTATCGCTGACAGTGTATTGTGGGCATTCGATTCCGGTGGAGTTTCTGTGGTTGTTTACCAGACGTAGGGAGAACCTGGATCGTTGCAGAGCATGGTTTGTGTCCACCGGTTTTGACCAGTCTTGAATTTCCCCCTCCTCCAGCGGCAGCTGATGGCGACATGGTCGATTTGAGTCTGTTGTTGTGAACAGGTTGGCGGTTTCTATGTAAGACGGTGTCCTTTCTTGTGTGAGAAGTTCGTGCTTAACGGGAACAGTGCGTGGTCAACGCAAAGTTGGAGTAGGCGTTCTCCGTTGTCCGTCCGGTCGGCTGGGATCGTATGCGTATCAACAAGGAGCCTTTCTAACTCTTCCAGGGATCCCACTTGAGTATTGAAATCTCCATCGACCATCGCTAAGTCTGTTGATAAAGCACTTTGGAGCAGTTGAGAGAGGTTCACGTGGAATTCATTCTTCACTTCTGGCGAACTGCAATCGGTCGGTGCATACAACAATACGACTAATAGGCATCGACGCTTCGTTCTGTAGCTGTTCAATCACACTGGACCATCGAAACTTACAGCGCACAGTCATCATCATCATCATTATCGTACAGCGAAATACAGTGAGGTGAACTTCACTGGTCGCTGACAACCTCGAAATGCGTACAAGGTTACTGGTAAAATTTAAGGTGGACGGGTTGGATCTATTTTGAGGGAGGGAGAAGAAGATGAGCCACTATAGTCAACACACAGAGTACGCAATCAAACTCTGCATACATACCGTTTCAAGCATTCTGACCTGATAAGAAACGACAACAAGAACGCCACTGCTGTCAGTTCGCTGCTATATCCTTCAATGTATCCAAACAACCAGTTGTGGAGTCTTTCGGATCTCAATCTGGAAGGCGAGAGACGCCTACTCTACCTAATGGCTCTAAGCATGTTTTCATGCCTCGTCTCCACGTCATCTGTTGACCTCCACGTGGTTTCCTCCAGCCCGGATTAGCTACAGCGAATAAAGCGCGGTGCGGCAGACGATGGCTGGGCATACGCAATACGTGCCCTAGCCAGCGAAGCCTAGTAATCTGAATTCGGTGTGCCAGCAGATTTATACCTGATAGGCTCCCAAACACACGACGGCTTACCTCCACGTTACTAACCCGTTCGCTCCATCCAATGTGGGCTAAACTACGTAAACACCGATAATCGAAAACTTCCAGTCAACGGATATCTTCCATCCGCAAATTCAGGGCCTCATAACCATAAAGTAGCCCTGAACGAACGCTAGCACAATATACACGACCTTTCAACTTCAGTGAAACGTCGCGTCTACGCCAAAGGTGTTTCAGTCCTGCGTATGCTGCTCGAGCCTTGGAAATGCGGGCGGTTATCTCATTTGCTGCACTACCGTCATTGGTCACGCAACTACCGAAGTAGGAAAAGTAATCCACCACAACTAAATCCTGGCCATTTAGTTTCAGAGCGGGAGTAAACGAAACCCTGTCCTGCAGCATCACTTTACACTTTGAAAGTGCAGAGCACATACCGAATGCTGCTACTGCACTTGCTAGTCTATCAAGTGTGCTTTGCGCATCGTCCGTACATTCGAACAACTTGTGGAAGCGACTCCTAAAGCAATGTTTTATCAAACAGAAGTGAATACAGTGAAAAGAGTAAACCACATACGCCAAGGATAAACTGTACATGGGAAGGTTAAGTGCAGATTGAAGTTCAAGCTAGTCTGTTAATTCTGCGTTCACATACAAAAATGCCATAAGTTGGAGGGAAGACTGAAAGGGGAGTTTCCCAAAATTGTTCTGTTCCCGGGAAAAAGATCACCAAAAGTTAGAAATGAAAACCTGAGGATAGTCACTTGAAGTGGATGGCTAACCGCTTGTGTGCGGGTAAGTCCCGCACACAATGCGTAAGATCAAGTGGCAGAGGGACAGAAGTTGGTCACAATATAACCCGAAATAGTATCGATGGAATAAGAATAAGGAATGATCATCAAAATCATCATCATTTTACAGCGTAATACTGGGAAGCGAACTTCACTAATCGCTGCCAAACTCATACTGCATGCAAAGTAAGTGATAATATGTAAGGGGGACAGGGATAAGACCTATTTTTAGGGACGGGAAAAGAAAGCAAACCTCTATGGGCAACATACAGAGTACACAGTTCAACTGTGTATACATACTATTTCAAGCATTCTGGTCTGATAAGGAGTGACATCAAGATCTCAATTGTTGTCGGTTCGCAGCCACCTTCAGTTTCTCCAACCATGAGGTTTGGGAGTCTTTTGGATCCCAACCCGGAAGACGAGAGACACCTACTCTACCTAATCGCTCTGTGCATTTCTTTATGCCTCGTATCCACGTCATCTGCTGGCCTCCACATGGCCTTCTTCAGCCTGTAACAGCCACTACAAACAAGGCGCGCTGTGGTAGGCGACTGTCGGACAGACGCCAAACGTGTCCTAACCAACGGAGCCTATTGAGCTGGATTCGATGAGATAGCGGGTTCTTGTTTGATGTAGTCCCAAACACCCGACGACTTACGACTTACGCTCAGTTCATCCAAATTCAAATTTTTATTATCGGTAAACTACAAAGCTGATACTTATTGAATGCAATAGGACGTATACACACTGGGTTCGGTTGGTGGTACCATTGAATAGCAAATTCTGACGTTCACCCACGGGTACTGAAAAGTTATGTGGTTCAATGCTTCGTTCAGTCGTGATTTGAATGAATCAATGATTGGTGCACAAACAACTTGAGGTGGA